AGAAAGACGTAAAGTTTACCTGAGGAAGAAAGACGTAAAGTTTACCTGAGGAAGAAAGACGTAAAGTTACCTGGGGAGAACAAAGTTTACAGGAAGAAAGACTAAGGTACCTGAGGAAGAAAGACTTAAGTTCTGAGGAAGAAAGACGTAAAGTTACCTGGGAGACTGTAAAGACTGCCTAGGAAGAAAGATTTAAGATTTGGAAGAAAAGACAATAAAGTTTACCTGAGGGAAAAACGTAGTTCAAGGAAAGACAAGAGGAAAGGTAAAAGAAGTACAGAAAAAGTAAAATTACCTGAGGAAGAAAAGACTAAAAGCTTACCTGGGAAGAAAGACGTAAAGTTTACCTGAGGAAGAAAGACGTAAATTTACCTGAGGAAGAAAGACGTAAAGTTTACTTGAGGAAGAAAGAGCAATAAAAGTTTAGAAAAGACAAAGTTTACCTGAGGAAGAAAGACTTAAGTTTACCTGGGGAAGAGAAAGACTATAAAGTTTACACTGAGGAAAAGACAGCAAGTTTACCTGAGGAAGAAAGACATAAATTTACCTGAGGAAGAAGACACAAGGTTTCCTGGGGAAGAAAGACGTAAACTACTAAAGGAAGAGAAAAGACGTGAGGAAAAAAAGAAGAAAAGTTTACCTGAGGAAGAAAGACGTAAAGTTACTGGGAGAAGAAAGACCTGAAGATTTACCTGGAAGAAAAGACAGGTTACCTGGAAGAAAGACGTAAAGTTACCTGAGGAAGAAAAGACTTAAAGTTTACATGAGGAAGAAAGACCCAGTTTTACCTGAGGAAGAAAGACGAGTTACCTGAGGGAAAAGACGTAAAGTTTACCTGGGGAAGAAAGACGTAAAGATTTACCTGAGGAAGAAAGATAAAAAGCTTACAAGAAGAAGACATCAAGTTCCCTGTAGAGAAGACATAAGTTTACTGAGGAAGAAAAGACCAATAAAAATTTACCTGAGAAGAAAGGACGTGAGTTCAGAGAAAGACCGTAAAGTTCTTGGAAGAATAAAGTTATAGGAAAAGACATAAAATTACGGAAGAAAAGACTTAAAGTTACCTAAGGAAGAAAGACGTAAAGTTACAAGGAAAGACATAAAAGTTTACCTAGGAAGAAAGACTGTCAGGTTACCTGAGGAGAAAACAAAAAGTTTACTAGGAAGAAAGACAATAAAGTTTACTATGGAAGACCTAAAGTTTACAAGGAAAATGATACAAAGTTACTGAGGAGAAAGACAAAAGTTTGGGAAGAAGAACTTAGGTTACACAGGAAGGAAAGACAAAGTTACAGGAAGACTTAAGAAGTTTACTGAGGAGAGAAAGACATAAAGTTTACCTGAGGAAGAAAGGCAATAAAAGTTACACAGGGAGAAAGACATAAAGTTACCTAGGGAAGAAAAAAGACTTAAAAGATTTACAAGGAAGAAAGACATAAATTCTAGGAAAGAAGAACTTAAAGTTTACCTGAGAGCAAAGATTACAAGGGAGAAGAAAGACAAAATTTACTAAGGAAGAAAGACATCAAGTTACAGGGAAAGAAAAAGACTTAATTTACAGGAAAGAAAGACATAAAGACACCTGAGAAAGAAAGAGCAAATTTATAAATGCTAAACTAATTAGTAGAATATTACCTATTTTAATACATTATGGACCTAAGTCTCACCTCTCTATATATA